TTATTTATTTATAATAAAAATTATTTATTTAAAGAAAAACATTTTTTATTCTAAACTTTTAAAGTAATTCAATTTTTATTAAAAAAAATTTTGTCTATCTCTTATAGTTTCGAAGATATTCGCTTCGAAAAAAAAAAGAATTTTTCGACGTGCTCGCAGCCGTGATTTGCGACCATGGCTCACAATATTTTAAGCATCATTTCATCCTTGTTTATTAAACAAGGATAAATGATGTTCATAAGTGCTGCAAGCGTCAAAGCGAACACAGTCCATAGGTTGTTCGCGTCGCATACTCCAGCTTGCTCCACTGTGCTCCTGCTATAGCTCCTACTCACTTCAACGAGCGCGTTAGAGTGAGTAAATACTATGGTAGGAGCATTGTAGAGCATGTTGTATGAACCTGAATCGTTCCGGAATTACAAAATCACTCGAGGCTGACGTAACTTGTCAATAGTCACGTTTATCCCATCTGTTTTCTATATCTGTGTAGATAGAGAAATGCGATGTAATTTCAATTACGTTTGATAGTCAGGTGATATTAATCAATTTGTTCTTTTTTTCGTTATATCATCTAGTTTTATCTTCTAGTTCATGAAGTCATTTGACATGTGCGCGCACCGCACCTTACCTTACTTTACATCGTCGTTGGTTTTTCCTTCCAATTCAAGAAAAACGATTCTAATGTCTTATCACAAAAAGTCTTTGTGCGCTTGAGTAATCGTAATAAATCACTGAATTTATATTCTGCATCTTGTTATTTCCAAGAAATAACCCAACAATCTGCGTAATGGGTTACTACTGGAACATTCTTGTTTTCATATCATGAAATATATTAGGTGTAGTAAAAAGAAATCCATGATTTTTCTATTCAATTTCATGCAAAAATAATGGATTTCTTTTTACTACAACTAATATTATATATTTTTACTTTTAGTATTCCTTTTTATATTATAATATTTTTGTATTTATATAATACTTATTTTTATTGTTTTTAATATTTATTGTTAATGTGTATTGCAAGGAGCGCTGTAAGTGAACTGATAAATAATACATTCGAATTTACCACGAAACGATGTAACATGATAACAATTCTGAATAGTCGCTCAACTGTCATGTGATTACACGCATTCTGCGTATACTCTTGTCTTTATATAATTAGTAACATACTGGCAGCATACGATGGTGTGTGTGTGTGTGTGTGTGTGTGTGTGTGTGTGTGTGTGTGTGTGTGTGTGTGTGTGTGTGTGTGTGTGTGTGTG